TCCCCTTCCTCCTCCCCCTCTCTCTGCTTTCTTTCTGATTCTTTCTCCCTGTATTTCCCCCCCTCTTCTCTCTCTTTCTCCTTTGTGAGAGTTCACATGCTCTGTACCTCAGCTATCCACTCCCTCTCCTTCTGCTTATGTTCTGTGGCAGCCACAGTCTTGCTTCCACATGCTTCTCTTCAGATGTTGATGGAGCGCCACTGGGAGTCAAATTTCTTGCTGCTTCTTATGGTACAGTTTAATGAGATCAGCCTCCTCCCAAAGGCTTGTGGTGCTTTGGGGACGCAGTTCTGTAGAGACACTGTAACAGCTGTGTGTCTGACAAGTGCTGACATTCTGTGGCAGAACTTGCCGATTTTAGTTAACAACCAAAGGGATATGGTTGTTTATTAAATTATTTAAAATGAGACAAAATTGTCATCATGCATTTTTATAGTATAGAGTAATAGACCCTGTGCATCTATAAATTCAAACAGCATGAAAGCTCAGATAAGAACATTTTCCATGGCTCTATATTGATAATATTCTAATAATCTTTAACAATAGATACTAATAGGTTCTTGAGTACATTTTAAATCCTTAAAGAAGATTATATCTAAAGTTAAAACTGGATAAAAAATTAGTAATTCCCATATATATTAGAAATCTAATTATGATCTCTTACTCAACAGTATTTCTGGATAAACGGTAGGTGACTGTTAAAAACTCTCACTTCCTTAATGCTGAGGGTAGCTATTGTTCTCCATTTAGAATGTATTGTCTCATGTGTAAGATGGTTTTGAGGAATAGCTCTGAATACCGGCAGATTTTAATAATCAGCTTTAGCTAGTTGATGTAAGAGAGTCAGATTCTTTCCACTATTTAATTTAACCTGTCCTCTCCTTCCTTGTCCCCCCGCCTTGGGGGAATATTAAAGATTAAAGCTGGTGCAATATTTAAAACTATGAACAATTGCTATAGTAGTAAGTAGCAGAGTGGTATGCTCACTATTGGGGCCAGTACATCAAAAGGACATTGATTAATTCAGGCTGTGCCTAGGGATTAGTCCCCATCAACTCCTAGTTCAAGGTGATTGCCATGGCAAGCCGACTGCAGTAGTAGAAAGAGCAGGGAAAGCAGGTCAAGGCTCTCTAGTATTTTTTCACATAAATATCACCTTGGTGTCTTTTCTGGAAAAGAGGAAAAGACTTGTTTTTTAAAGAACAAAGCCAGCACAAAAGTAATAGACATCTACTAGGTAGATCGATATATAGATGCATGCTTTTATACATACGCACATATCCTTGAATTTTTTTTGGTCCTGGCTGAAGAATCCAAGCATCAACCATATTGAATTAGACAGCAGTGTATTCATGAGTTACATGTCCTGATTCCAAGACCCACTCTGTTCAAGTAAGCATAGTTATCTGTAAAGGCAAGTATGTCCGGTTTTCATTTTAAACCTGTAATTAAGCTTAGCAGATATATTAAAGCTAATTAAATCACGAGTCCAACAATTTATCAGAATTTGTAGAGCATACCTACTAAGTAAGCTAGGATTAGAAATAAAAAGATGCTTGAAAAACATTCTTGCCTTTGATCTTGAAATCTAGTAGAACTCAAGCACAAAAGGCTTTCAGTCAAGCATTTTTATGGGACTACAAGGGTAGGGCCAAAGAAAATGCCTTTTTCTTTTTAACAGTAACTCTGCTAATGTATTAGATAAATTCCTAAGTGTGAGTTATGGAAAACTGGCTGCAAATTATTTGAATTTGATAAACTTTTTCCAGAAAAGAAAAAAAAAAAAAAAAAAATATATATATATATATATATATATATATATATATATGTGCTTTGACAAATAATACATTGATCTATTTAGATATGTTAGAAGGTAGAAACACACACTTCTGAGTATAGAAATATATGCTATGTTGGAATGTACTTGACAGGAAAAACTCCAACATAACTAGACAGAGCACATTTTCACAAGTTCCCTTTACTTTAAAAATATTTTTTGCAGTCAAAATTGTATTATTTAGAAGTTAACGTAGAAATTTAGGAAAAGCAGTTTTGATGTTATTACATTGTTTAAGAACCATAGTGGTTAACTGCTGCTGACACCCTTTGAATAATGTTTGAACATGTGAAAATACTGCATTAAAGTTGTTTCTGGTGACTTTAACTAAGCCACATATGCCTTATGGAAAAATAAACTCTTTCCCCAATGCTTCACACAGGTAGGAAGCAGAACGCTTCAGAAGCCCATGGAACAAAAGACAGGTATTTTAAAAATAGTTTAATTAGAATTATGTGAAGTTAGAATTCTACAATTTTAGATTCTAAAAATAGGTGATTCAAAGTTTATGCTAAATTTATTAATCTTAGAAGAAGAGTATCTGAAGTATAAATCTCAAGTTGTTTCTGAAATAATTCAGAAGTTATTTTATTTTCCTTCAGATCAAAGATTTGAAAGCTGAGTGGTACAAAGCAGAGAGTATAAGGAGTTCTTAGAAAAGCAGAAATTGCTAGCCCTAACACCCCCTTCCCAGATCCTTTCTTCTACTTGGTATCTTTGAATCCTTCTTTCTTTGTCCACTTGTCTGGTCCTATTCTTTCTTCTCCAGTGGCAACTTGAGATTTAAATTTCTGTGAAAGGTCTTTCTAAACCTACTTACTCTAAGAAGGTCTTTTGATCGGCTTGTAGAAATCTTTGTGTTTTGTGGCATTCTGCTATTAAACATAATTCATAATAATTAAACTCATTTCCTCATTGTGTCTATAATACATGTAATATAAATGTACTATACTCTAAGTATTAGGACTTTGCTGGCCACTTATAACCATGTCATATGGTTTAGAATCTCTGAACGTATGTGATTTTATGATTTAATTTTTAAGAAATAACTTAATAATTCAGTTGTTTACTCTGCTCCTCTTTAGGTATGTTAGAGCGGAAGTTCTGGCTGGCTTTGTCAATGGCCTATTTTTGATCTTCACTGCTTTTTTTATTTTCTCAGAAGGAGTTGAGGTATAGTAGATAATGATTAGAGTCAGTAAATTTCATTTCTATAATGAAAATGTTTATTAATTAAAGGTACATATGCTAGAACTGTTTTCAACTATCATTAAGTATTTGTTGAGGCCAGTCTTGAATTAGATAAGGGATTATGTGTATGCGAGAGGAGCTTACTAAGTAGTTGAAAAAAATTAAATTTATGTGAATCTTCTTGAAATAGAGAATAAATCATAGTGCTTTACAAGCTATGGATGAAGTGTTAACACCATGAAAAAGTTAAGATGCAATCTGGATGGTGAGGTCAGTTGGGAGGTATTGAGAGTTTTGCCATTGAGTCTTTAATATTTGGTGTATCTTTTAAAAGGGAAGAAAACATAAAGATCAGTGAATGTAAAATGAAAGGCAGTATTTTAAGATACCAAAAAAGAACAGGTTTGGGGCCAAATATTTATGCTTTTAAATGTTGATATTTATTTAAAAATAGTATTTGTTATTTTGTCTGCAATATGTGAGCACTGGTTTTATTTCTGTAAACTGTTTTGGCAGTTATCTTTGGAGTGCTTTTATTTCTGAAAATAACTAAAACTGTTTAAGATTGCCTTTTGTGTTTGCCAGTTGACCAATCAGAAATTAAATTGCTGCTGTTTGTCTCATGTGTTTTCTAGAGAGCATTAGCGCCTCCAGATGTCCACCATGAGAGACTGCTGCTTGTTTCCATTCTTGGGTTTGTGGTAAACCTCATAGGAATATTTGTTTTCAAGCACGGAGGTCATGGACATTCTCATGGCTCTGGTATGATGGTTAGAACCCTTTGTTTCTTCATTTTTTTAAACTAGATTTCTGTCATAATTATTTACTTTAGAAAATTGTTAATTTTTAAGTTAAACTCTGTATCGATTTTCAATAATAAAAGGGACATGCCCATAGATTCCTAGGAACATTCTCCCTGCCATGGGCTTCGACTCAGAGGTGTGTGTGTTGTCATGGATCCCACCAGACCTCTGTAGCTCCTCTGTTTAGTGTGACACCCTTTACATAAAGCAAATACATATCAGTAAACCACAAAACAAACCCGGCCATTAAAAATTGTTGCCTGTGTGTGTGAAATTTCCCATTTAATGTGTCTTGAGATCCTTCCATTTGGTATACATCAGCCCACCTTGTCTTGTTAGCAGACACATAAAACTATAGAGCGTGGGTGATTGTTGTTCATTCAACCATTGTTCTATAGAAAGACTTTTGAGTTGTTTCCTTTTTTCACTAAACCATAAAAAGCCTATCTTTGAGCTGGGTGGCTCAGCCTGTAATCCCGCGCCTTTGGGAGGCTGAGGTGAGTGGATTGCCTGAGTCCGCGGGTTCAAGACCCGCCTGGGCAGCGAGACCTCATCTCTACAATAAATAAAAAATAAAAAAAAATCAGCTGGGTGTGGTAGCGCATGCCTGTAATTCCAGCTACTTGGAAGGTGGAGGCAGAAGGATCGCTGGAGCCCAGCAGGTCGAGGCTGCGGTAGCCGGGAGCGGCCACTGCACTCCAGTCTGGGTGACAGAGTGAGACTCCAATTAAAAAAAAAAGGCCTATCTTTGTAGACACATGCAAGTGTTTTTTCAAAAGTGTGTGTGCTGTTTTAACTACACAGTACCAATTAGTCACATGTGGCTATTTAAATTTAAATTTTAGTTTTTTGACATTAAGTAAAATTAAAAAATTCATTGTCTTGATCACACTAGTGGCATTTCAAAGCTCAGTGGCCACACAGTGTAGTGTGTTGGACAGTGCAGACATGGAACATTTTCAACCTCACAGAGAGGTTTCTGAATTGTACTCTTTAGAGTGTAAGTCAAGTGGCTGGAACAGAGGCTGAATGCATCTGTAGGTCGTAGACATTTGCAAGTTGCCCTCCAGAACAACAGTCGTTCTTGCTTACCCCAGGAGTAAATGCAAGTAGTAATTTCTTCCCACCCATGTCAGCTTTTAATATTGTGATTTTGCTAACAATTTGATAAATGGTATTGTCTCATTTTATTTGTGTTTGTCTGATTCATAGTGAAGTCGAACTTGGTTCTTGTATGTTTTTAGATTATTCAGGTTTTTCTTCTAGAATTACCTGTTCATATTATTTACCTGTTTTTCTACTTTATTATTTTTAACCCATTGATAATCATTTTGATACATTTTATACTAGATCCTTTATTTTATGTGTTGCAAATTTCTTTTCCCAGTCTATGGCTTGTCTTTAGACTTTTATATAAGGGTTTTTTATTTAGACTTTTATATAAGGGTTTTTATTTTATAGTTTTTCTGTCTTTTGTCTCACACTTTTTCTGGTATATTTTCTGCATTGTTTAAAAAGTTTCCATATTCCAAGGCCATCAGCATAATCTTATATTTTAATGCTTTAAAAAGTTTAGTTTGACACTCATTTTGGTCCTTCATCTATATGTAATTTATTTTTGCAATGTTAAGTTTAGGGCTTAACATTTTCCCCCCTCAGTATGAAAAAGTAGTTTTCCAAGCACCATTTATTAATCTGCCCTTTATTTTCTTAAAAGTTGCCTTGGCCTTGGCCTTACAAAGTTTTGGGATTACAGGCATGTACCTGGCAGGAAAAAAAAAAGATTGCCCTGGGGGTTACAAGTAGCATCTTAGTTTAAAACAGTCTAGTTCAGATTAATAGTAATTTAATTCAATAATATATTAAAAATTTGCCCTAGTACACTGTTGTTCCCTTCCCCCTCTTTTATCTAGTTAATGTCAAATTACATGTTTATATAAGCCAACCAACACAGGTTTATCATCACTGGCTTTTATGCAATTGTCTTTTGAAACAGATATAGGAAGAGAAGAGTTACAAATCAAAATAGGTGGATTTTCTCTTTCATAATAACTATGGGTTACTTTTACCTGTGCTTTTTTTTCTTTGTTGTGGATTTGAGATCCTACTTAGTGTCCTTTCCTTTCAACCTGAAAGAGTCTCTAATATTTTGGGGTGACAAGTTTTTGTTTATCTGGAAATGTCTTAATTTCTCTGAATTCTAAAGATAGTCTAGTTGGATATAAAGTTCTTGGTTGAGTCTTTTTTTCCGACATTTTGATAGCATCCCACTATCTCTTGGCTTCCATGGTTTCTGTTGAGAGGTTAGCCATCAATGTTGTTGAAGTTCCCTCTACATAAGTTACTTCTTTCTTGCTGCACAACTCTCAAGATGTTCTTTCTGTGTTTGACTTTCATCAACTTGGCTATAATGTCTCTACATGCAGTTTTGTTTGAGTTTCTGCTGCTTGGAGTTTGATGAGCTTCTTGGACATGTAGGTTAATCTTTTATATCAGTTTGGTTGGCTTCTGGTCACCATTTCTTCAAATATTTTTTCTGCCTCTTTCTCTTTTTGCGATCCTGTTATGCCTAATTTGGTACATTTGATGTCTCTGCAGATCTCTGAGGCTCTGGTTATTTCCTTCATTTTCTTTCTTTTCTACTCCTCAACATGGAGCTTACTTTCCAGCTTCTTTGCATGCCTTGTATTTTTTTGATGAAAATTGGACATTCTTTATGATATATTGTAACAACTCTGAGTCAGATTATGTCACATCTCCAGAGTTTGTTGTTCTTGGTTTTCTGTTACTCAGTGTGGTTTTCCTGAAGTAATTAATTAGATCGTGCTTCTTGCAGGACATAGCCATTGGATTCTCTACTAGTTCTTTTCTTCACATTCTTTTTGTTATTTTTATTTTTATTTATTTATTTATAAATGAGTTGGAGTCTCACTCCGTCAACCTGCTGGGCTCCGGTGATCCTTTCGTCTCAGCCTTCCAAGTAGCTGGAACTATAGGCGTTCACTACCACACTCGGCTAATTTTTGATTTATTATAGAGTCGAGGTCTCACCAAGTTGCCCGGGCTGCTTTTGAACCTGTGGTCTTGGGAAATCCACTCACCTCGGCCTCCCAGAGTGCTGGGATTACAGGCTGAACCACTGAGCCTGGCCTTTTTAAATTTTTAACCTCAATTCCTAGGAGTCACGCCTAAGCCAGTATGATTTAGTGGTCAGCCCATGATTAGCCAGGTTTCCTTAAATGCCTTGCCTTTAAATCGTCTCCTCTTGCTAAAGGGATCTTTGGGAGAAAGCACACCTTCAAGCTAGGCAGTCTGCAGGGCAGTCGGAGCTTTCACCGCCTGTTTGCTGGACCTTAAGGCCAGTGAGAGATGAGTAGCTGGTGAGTTCCTCTTTCTCAGGTTTTTCCTTTTAGATCCCTAAAAATATGTCGGTGGTTTTCAAAGGCCCTCTGGTCATCTAGTTCTACAGGGTTTCATTTTAATTCTCAATCAGGCTGTGTGAAATCAATTTGCCTTTGTTTAGGTAGGACCCTGCCTCTGCCCCAGCTTCCCCGCTAAACTGATCTCTGGATCTAAAACCAACATCACTGAGAACAGAGATTTTCCTAGGAAACTGCAAGTTTAGGCAGAATACTGTCTGTGCTCAAAGATAGTACTTTTAACAAAGCACTGAAGAGGTCTGATCCCCCATTTCTGCTCTCCTGCTGGCTTCCAGCTGTTTTGCCCCAGGGCTGGGGAGGGAGGGCAGTGGGAATAGTGTCCAGTTAAAATATCAGAGATGCCAGACTCAGCGGCTCAGCCTGTAATCCCAGCGCTTTGGGAGGCCGGGGATTGCTTGAGCCTGAGCGTTTGAGACCCGCCTGGGCAACTTGGCGAGACCTCATCTCTAATAATAAATCGAAAATTAGCTGGGCTACTCGAAAAGCTGAGGTGGAAGGATCGCCGGAGTCTAGCAGGTCGATACTGGAGTGGCCATGAGTGTGCAATGGCACTCCAGCCTGGGCAACAGAGTGAGACTCCAACTCAAAGAAAAGAAAAATGTCAGAGACCTCTGTCTTACAGAAGTTCAGTGGTTTCTCTTTGACAGAAGATTTTATGTTCATTCTCTGGTTTTAACGGTCAGGGTTCTGAAATGGTTGGTTTTTAGTTGTGCTTCTCTTGTTTTTGTTGTTTTAGAGGAGAGGTAGTTCACTGAGGTTCCCTCCACTGTTCCAGAAGCTGATCTCTTATAGTCATGATTTGTTCATCGGATGAAGGACTGGATCTGATTTACTGATATTTTGAATTTTTGCAAACATAAGAGCTGTTTTCGAATTGGATAGCATCCCGTTTTTTTCTGTGCTTTAGAATAGCTTGTGTAAAATGTTTCTTGATGATTTAGTCATTTTTAGGTATGCTGTGGAGAGAGGATTCTGCATTCTTCTGCCTTTGGCTTTTCTAACTGTTTTAGTGTAATTTTACTGGTTCCTTTACCAAATGTAGCAGCTTTCCTGTCTCTGTCTCAGTGTGACCATATGCATTATCTTGTTTAATCTTTGCTAGTGTGTGTTACCAGCTTTGCAACATTTGTGCCAAGAATTTTGTCTGTGCTGTTTATTGCCTTATCCCTAGTGTCCAGAATGGTGCCTATAACATAGTATATTACAAATAAGTCTTTCTTGAATGAACAACATTTTCTAATATCTTCCGATAATTCTCTGTACTTTGGGTCAGTCCTTGTTTTCAATTCCAATAGGATCTGTCACTTTCCTCTATGTTTTCTTTACCTTCCTGGACTCCACAGGAAGAGCTCAGAATTGTTTTAATGGATCTGTAACACTTTTTTACAAATACAGGAAGCTCCCAACATACAAACAGTTTCCTCTCGGAGACCATGTTTATAAGTTCAATTTGTTTTAAATCCAACAAAGCTGGCCTAGGTCCCCAACTAACACAATCAACTATATTGTACTGTATATATTTAACAGGCTATACTGACACCTGGTGGAGAGAAATGATACATTAAAAAAATGCAGGTGTGCTTCCTTAAAGTTTGTAACTTGAAGGTTCATATGTAGGGGAATTACTGTAAATGTATATTGAATTGAATCTGAGCTGATTCTTTTCACTAGTGTCAGTATAACAGTAGTCATTTATAAAGTATGCTGTTACATCCCTTATGTCCTAACACCTTGTTTTCTAGGCCATGGACACAGTCACTCCCTCTTCAATGGTGCTCTAGACCAGGTGCACGGCCATGTAGATCACTGCCATGGTCATGAAGTGAAACACGGTGCTGCACACAGCCATGATCACACTCACGGACATGGACACTTTCATGCTCATGGTGAGTACAGCCGTGAGATTTCTGAGTGGGCAACCTCCAAACAGGAATGTGTAGAGTACTTTTCCTAGTTAGTTTGTTAAAACTACGCTACAGTCAACTTCTTTTTCTGATGAATCAGTCTAAGTGGTTCCTAGAGCTAGTTTATTTTTAGTATGTCATGAATTAATTCAGTGTAAAGCAGTCGATAGAGCTTTTTTCCCATGAGTATAGCATCAAAAATTGCTACTATTTTAAATAATGTTGGTAAATGAGGAACAGTTGCAATTTAGCAAGTGAAAAGTCATAATTGTTTAAGTATGACAAGCACTTTTGTACTACATTTATGCTTATAAAAATATGATGGGGATTTTCAGTTTTTCACATTTTTATTGTAACTTTTTATGTTTATCACCTGATATTTACCTCCATGTTTCTTTAGAAATCTCTAATGCTAACTTATGTAGCATTAGGTACTAAGTTATGAAGCATTTACCAACTGAATGTATTATTTTAAATTATATCTTAGTTTATTGAGAATAGATTAATAGAGGCTATTTACGTGACCCAGTTTGATTATTCTCTAAATACAGTGTGTGCTTAAAAACTGTCTATACTTGCATATAGACACATAGACTGGATCCTCAAGCTTCAGGCTTGAAAATGTGAGAGGGGCCTTGGAGAGAGCACTTTTCCAAGCCCTTGATTTTTCAGTCTTTAAAATTTTTTTTGATTGCTTTTTTGAGATACAATTGACATATGAAAAAACCTGCATATTTCATGCCTATAATCTTATAAGTTTGGTGATAAGTGTATACCCATGGTGACACCCCTGCTGTCTATACCATAAATCGAGCCATCACCACCAAAAGTTTCCTTCTGCCCTTTCATTTTCCTCATTCTTATTTATTCATTTTTGTGCTGAGAACACTTAACAGAACATGTACTCTTTTGGCCATTTTTCACTTGTACATCCCAGTGTTGTCCTTCAGCACCGTGCTGTACTGACCCCTAGGCTCATGTGTCTTGCGTAACTTGTGCTTAGACCCTTTGACTGAACCATCTCCATTTCCACCTCCCTGCAGCCCCCGGCAGCCACCGTTCTGCTCTGTTTCTATGGGTCTAGCTGTTTTAGATTTCTCGTAAGTGGTATCATGTCATGCTTGTCCTTTTGTCTCTGGCTTCCTTCACTCGGCATGATGTCCTTCGGGTTCGTCTGTGTTGTCCCAAGTGACAGGATCTCTTTTTTGGGTGTTTTTTTTCCCTTTTTTTTTGAGTTGGAGTTTCACTCTGTCACCCAGGCTGGAGGGCAGTGGCACACTCCCGGCCACCGCAGCCTCTATCTGCTGGGCTCTTGGGATCCTTCCGCCTCAGCCTTCCAAGTAGCTGGAACTATAGGCATGTGTTACCAAGCCTGGCTAATTTTTTATTTATTGTAGAGACGAGGTCTTACCAAGTTGCCCAGGTGGGCTTTGAACCCACGGGCTAAGGCCTCGACCTCCCAAAGTGCTAGGATTACAGACTGAGCCACCAAGCCCGGCTCCTTTTTGATTTTTAAGGCTTAGTATTCCATTGTATGTATGTACACATTTCTTCATCCATTCATTGGCTGATGGACATTTAGGTGGCTTTTGAGTCTTGGCTTTTGTGAATAATGAATGCTGTAGTAAACGTGGAAATGCAGATGTCCCTTCGACATCCTGATTTCAATTCCGTGGATGTATACCCAGGAGTAGGACTGCTAGGTCATGAGGCAGCTCTGTGTTTAATGTTTGAGAAACTTCATTTCCATGGTATCTGCTCCAGTTCACATTCCCACCAACACTTTTCTCTGCTTCTTCACCAACACTTGTTGTCTTTTGTTTTTGTTTTGGTAATAGGCATCCTAACAGGCATGACCTGATATTGTGATTCTGATTAGCATTTCTCTGATGATTAGTAATGCTGAGTACCTTTTTCATATACCTGTTGGACATTTGTATGATCAGGTAGTTTTCTTTTGTTTGCTGTTGGTTGTGTGAGTTCTGAGTATATTTTATCAGCTGTATAGCTTGCAGATATTTTCTGCCATTCCATAGGTTACATTTTCATTTTGTTGTTTATTTCCTTTGCCTTGCGGAAACATTTTGATTGGATGTAATCCCATTTGTCTGTTTTTCCTGTTGCCTGTGGCAATCTCTTAAGATTTGCCATATTTTTAACAATTACACTGGCATGCTTTAAAACTTGGCTTTTCCAAATTTTTTGCTCACATGTGTCTTAAAATAATTGTGAAAAACTGCATACCCCTCCACGGGTATGCAGTTTTTTGACCATCCATAGGGTTCTCAAGATAGCTGCTTTTTCCTCTGCACACAGCAGTATGCTTCTGGGCAGACACATCCTGCAGCCTTAGACCCTTGTGCTGCATCGCTGCAGAGCGTTGTTGCAGTGCTGTATTGCAGCTACAGTGATGCCGGAGAGCCATGGGCCTGCAGGTGAACTCTTAGTTGTGGTCAGAAAGCTTGCCACGCGTCCTGATGACCCCTTTATACAGGCCTTGCTCACCTTCTGCCTTGTTTACCTGTGTTTTCTGTTCTGATGCGAAAGCAGAAATCTTCCAAGTGTTTACGTATAGGAAATAGTGTTTTTTCATCATAAAGGCAAATGAAAAAAGTATTTGTATCTCTTCTATATGAAGAGCTTGCTGCGTCCGTCTAGAAGCTCTTGAAAAGCTGCTGTTGACCACAGTCAAGGTGCCCTGGATTCCATCCTCTTCATTTCTTGGTCCTCTTGTCGCTTCAAGCAGTACATTTGGTTTTCTCTGACTCTTCCAAATGTACACAAATATTTTATGAGTGTTAGAGGATTTTCACAATGCTTTTAATTTCCTGTGTTTTGTTTTTGTTTTACAATTTCTGAAATACTCTGTATCCTTGGTGAATTTTGAAATTACTTCCACTAAATTTACTGTCAGTTGATTACTTTATTAAATTTAAAAATGATTTTGTGTGTCTGATGTGGCTATGTAGTCATACATTCTAGATGATATATTTGAATGAAGAGGACTGTGAATTGTAAAAATTTTAATCGGAAATTGAAAACATGTTTTAAAATAATTTAACTTACTTTGTTGCAGATGGTCCTTCCTTAAAAGAAACAACAGGACCCAGCAGACAGATTTTACAAGGTATGACAAGCAATTTGCATGTTTCTTAGGTTTTTGAAACTGCTTTTATAGTTGGAAGTTTTGAGTTGTCTGAAGTTTTCCTTTAAGAAAAATACTTAACATTTGTATTAGATTGCCAGCTTTTCTAGTCATTGTTTTATAGACATCATTAGATATATTAACAGACTTTTTTTTTTGTCACTTGACTGTTTGATTTTATAATAAAAGCAAAATATTGACCTAGACATAGTGGCCTGTGCCTGTAGTCCCAGCTACTTGTAGGAGGCTGAGATGGAGGACTGAGATGGAGCCCAGGAGTTTGAGATCACCCTGTTCCAAAAAAAGAAAAAAAAAGGAAAGGCAAAATATTCAGAAACGATACTGCTTAAATATAGGTAATACCCATGCCTGTGACTCTAGTTAACACTATGTAGATGATTTTTTGACTTACGATGAGGTAACATCCTAATAAATCCATGGTAAGTTGAAGATATGGTTCAGTCGAAATACATCGACTATATTTAAGCTACCAAACATCCTAACTTAGCCTAGCCTACCTAAGCGTGCTCAGAACGCTGACGTTAGCCTATAGGTGGGCAAAATCATCTAATACTTTATAATGAAGTATTGAATATCTTGTGTTTACTGGCTACAGTATACTGGCCTACGAGGTCTTTGCTTAATCTTGCGAGCGTGATCAGCTGGTGGCTGCATCTCTGCCGCTGCCTCGCATCACAAGAGAGCACGCTACTGCATTATCGCAAGCCTAGGAAGAGATCGAAATTGAAAGTGCAGTTTCTGCTGACTGAACACATACTGCTTCCTGTACCATCATCAAGTTGAGATCATAAATTAATTGTTGCAAGTTGGGTTCTGGCTGTAGTAGTGTGCTTGTCTTCACAGATTATTACATAATTTTTCTAAGAATAATATTCAGTATGCTTTTTATGTTGTAGGAAAATTCAGAGCTAAAATTGTGATGCCAAGTGAGAACACCATTACACTTGCAGGCAGGGAGGGCATCAGTGGGTAATACCTAAACACGTGCTGCTGTGTGAAACGATGTGTTGCAGTTTTATAAGCCAGAGAAAATCAGTCTTGTCTATGAACTATAGTAGCTTCCTTTGTTGAAATGTGAACTCATCTTTGGCTCTGAGTAGACTCAATTGCCAAGGTTTCCTAATCTCAAACCCCCTGTCTTCCTGCTTTTAACTTTTGACTTCAGTCTGGCTTTCTGAATGGCATCCAGTCCAATCTTGACTGCACCTTTTTCTCCACTATTTCTTGATGTAACTTTTTGCTTTTTAGTTTTTCATTGTATGTTCCTCCATACTGAGAATTTTATTTGCAGAAGGCTTAAATGTGTCTTCTGATTACGATTTTCCATTTACAAAATACATAGAATTGTTTAAGATGTTTTCTGGTCTTGCTTACAGTCATGCATACTTGATGCATCTATATCAAGTATTAGCCTTGATAATAATAATTTACTTTTAGTTTTGAAAATCATCACAAGTTGGAGGGAAAAAAGATTTGCCTTTCTAATGATCTTTTATATAAGCTCTTTTGAAAATAAGTTTATATTTTCTGAATATCCATCAACTTGTGGCTGAATCAGCCCATTAGGTAGCTGAAGGAGAGAGACAACTATCTGGTATTAAAACCTTCCTGCAGAGTTCGAGGCCAGCCTGGGCAGCATAGCAAGATTTCATCTCTACACGTAAAATAAAAATAAAAAAAATTAGCCAGATATGTGTCTGTAGTTTCAGCTACTCTGGAGCCCAAGGTGGAAGGATCGCTTGAGTCCAGGAGGTCGAGGCAGCGGTGAGCTGTGATCATGCCACTGTATTCCAGCCTGGGCGACAGAGTGAGACCCCAACTCAGAAAAAAAAAAACAAAAAAGACCTTCCTGCAAAATGACCATGTAGCTACTCATGCATGAAAAACATGAAATCACTAAAATTTTCAATTATTTGCTACATCTTGAGTGTGACCTCTGGTTTACTAAATTCTTGGGGAGTTAGATTATCAGTATTCGGCTAAATCTTCTATGGCTTTTAGCTTTACATAAATTAAACATATGAGCTTATATTTCTTTTGTAGTAGTTTTTTTTCTTAAACAGTTTATAAAATAAAAAGGGTTTAGATAGGTAACAGCACTTACTAATAAAGCCAGTTTTTAGATTAGTAAGTAACATGTAGCCAGGGACTTTCCAATCTAAGGAAAATCAAGAACAGATGATTATTTTCTTTTTCCTTTTAATGCTGAGAGCTATTTTCATCTTTGATTCTACCAAAACACTGATGAAAGAATATAAAGGTTTAAAAGCATGTGTCACATATAAGAAATAGTTCCTAGCTTAGGGACTTCCAGATCATTTTTATGTGTATTTTTAAAAGTTAAGGTAGTCCCAGCATTATTAATCTATTTAATTCTTTGCTATTTGAAATACCCTAGAGAAACTGACTATTCTATGAATATACTGTGACATTTTTTTTTTGTTTTGGAAAACTTTTTTCTTAAGAGAGCCACTAGCTTTCTGAACCATAGTTTTAATAAGAGTCAAAGCTCTATACAGGTGGAAAGGTAGTTCGTGAGGGATGAGTGACATTTGGTGTAAGACTTGATGAAAAATTCCATGGTAGCAGATGAGTTGTATCATTTCCTGGAACACAGCATTGGTTAGATTAATTCACAGCTAGTTTTTAAATTTTTAGAAAGTTTTCTTGAGTTTAGGTGTATCTGTATCTCTCTACCTAAAAATAATAGATAGTTCAGATAGTTTAGTTGGTATTGAAGAATGTTCTATTTTTTGCAAGGTGTGGTTGAGGTTTAAGAGAATATTTTGCTATAGTAGTAAATTTTACCAATAAAGATCTAAATGGTGAATAATTTATTACCTTAGTCAAGTCTTTTAAAAAAACTATTGTATATGAAACATCTTGACTTCTTTAATGATTTTCTAGGTAAGTGTCACTTATTAGATGTTAATAGTATATGTAGGCTCTTGGACAGAATATCAGTATTCTATCCTTTTAGTATTTAATTATTAAAAACTCATTATTTTTTTATATTGATTTTCTTTTTTTCTTTTTTTTCATAATCAATATTTTTTATTATGGTTTTGTGGGGTACAGTTAAGGGTTAGGTGTACAATTATGTTTCATCCAGGCACCCTGTTGATAAGAGGTGTTTCCCCCTCCCCAGACAGATATTTACTACTGTTAATCCCATCTCCCTCCCCCCACCCCATAGTTTACTGGTACCGTCAGTCATTTTCTTATAGTATTACATTGGATGTTCAAGGTCCATTATATGAGTGAGAACACGTGATACTCGGATCTTTGTTTCTGTGAGAGGTCACTCAGTATTATAGACTCTAGTTCCAACCAGGTTGCTGCGAAATTCATGATGATGTTCTTTTTTATGGCTGCGTGGTATTCCCTCGTGTATATGTACCACATTTTTTTAATCCAGTCCTCTTTTGATGGGCAGCATGGTTGTTTCCAGGTTCTTGCTATTGTGAACAATGCTGCGATAAACATACGTGTGCAGGTATCTTTTTTATAGAGTGATTTGAGTTCTTCAGGGTATATTCCCAGTAGGGGGATTGAGGGGTCATATGGGAGGTCAATATTTAGAGCTTTTAGGAATCGCCACACTGCTTTCCACAGAGGTTGCACTAGTTTACACTCCCACCAACAGTGTAGAAGTGTTCCCTTTTCGCATACTCTCTCCAGCAGCTGTTATTTTTTGAGTTGTTGATAATTGCCATTCTGACTGGAGTTAGGTGGTATCTCAGTGTGGTTTTGATTTGCATCTCCCTGATGATTAGTGCGGTTGAACATTTCTTCATGTGTTTGTTGGCTGCTCGAATGTCCTCTTTGGTGTCTGTTCATATCTTTTGCCCATTTTATAATGGGGTTGTTTGTTCTTTCCTTTTCAGCACGTTTTAGTTCCTTGTAGATCCAGGATGTTAAGCCTTTGTCAGACCTGGTGTTGGCAAATACTTTTTCCCAGTCTGTAGGCTGTCTCCCTGCTCTCTTGATGGTTTCTTTGGCCTTGCAGAAGCTTGTCAGTTTAATAAGGTCCCACTTGTCTATCTTCTCTCTTATGACCTGTGGGTTTCGGGTTTTGTTCAGGAATTGGATGCCAGTTCCGATTTCCATGAGGGTATTTCCTTCCTTTTCTAAGGTTCTTATGGTTTGAGGTTTTACATTTAGGTCTCTGATCCATTTGGAGTTAACCTTTGTGCATGGGGATAGATAGGGGTCCTGTTTCAATCTTCTGCATGTGGTCAGCCACTTTTCCCAGCACCATGTACTGAATAGGTTCTCCTCTCCCCAGTGGTAGGTGGTGGAAGCCTTGTCGAAGATGAGTTGGTTGAGAAATTGAGGTTTTGCTTCTGGAATCTCAGTTCTATTCCATTGCTCTATATGCCTGTTCCTATACCAATACCAAGCTGTTTTGATGATTGTAGCTTTATAGTAAAGTTTGAAGTCTGGTAATGTGATACCACCTGCTTTGTTTTTTGTTTTTTGTTTTTTTTGCTCTGGATTGTTCTGGCTATTCTTGGACGTTTGGGTTTCCATATGAATTCCTGTGTTGTCTTTTCTAGGTCTGAGAAGAATGTTGCTGGTAATTTGATGGGTATTGCATTGAATTTGTAGATTGCCTTAGGTAAGATGGACATCTTCACAATGTTGATTCTTCCAATCCATGAGCATGGGATATTTTTCCACTTGTTTGTGTCATCTTTGATTTCTTTGAGCCGAGTTTTGTAGTTTTCATTGTAAAGGTCTTTCATGTCTTTGGTTAGGAAGATGCCAAGGTATTTCATTTTCTTTATGGCTATTGTGAATGGAATTTTTTATTTGGGCTTCTGTTTGTTTTTTATTTGGGCTTCTGTTTGTTTAATATTGGTGTAGAGAAATGCGATTGTCTTTTGTACATTTATTTTGTATCCTGAGACTTTGCCAAAGGCCTTTATCAGTGTAAGGAGGTTTTTGACAGATTCTCT